TCTTGTAATTTTACAATTTTAAATTTTAATTTTACGACACGCTTCATTAAAAAAATAATCCGTAAAACCTTCAACAATTTTTCATAGTGTACCGGCATTTTTGAAAAATGAACAAGTAAGTAGTGTCCGTGCTCGAACGGCTTTCCGCCTTCTGTTTCTAGTTGGCGTAGAGTGTGGGAGCGTCCCCCTGCGACAAGGGGCCGGAAACTTTACCGCGAATCCGTGTTGATAACGGTAGATTGCCCATATTACCATTTGGTCTGAATTATATTTGGACACCACATTGGCAGTTTTATCTTGGTTGTGCGAAGTTCCGTCGCATTGATCGGGGGACGGTCTGCACAAGGTCTGGGATAGACATCGGCGGAATTCAGCTCGGACCAGTCTGCAGGCCCGCGCCACCCCACGCCATGCCAGAGCCGCGTGCCGGGGGCGGGGGAAGGGGGCGGGGCCCCGGGGACCCTCGACAGTCGGCCGGGGCAGACCTCAGTCCCCTCTGCCGGCCTGCCACGCGCGGTCGCCCCGCCGCTTCGCCTCCCAGCAGTGGAGTCTCAGTGTGCCACGCGCCCGGGCCCGAGCCTCGTCCTTAGTCCCACCGCGACGCCCTGCCCCATGCGACGCCGGATCGAGCGCGTCTGCTTCAAGTTGGTCAAGTCCGCCCTCGTCGCCCTGCGCGCGTACTTGCGCAAGTGTTCAGCTGCGAGCAGGACGCCGTCATGGAGACTGACAGGCTGACGCAGCTGCAGCAGGTGCAGGTGGTGCCGGCGCAGCAGGTGGCCGCCACCGAGCTTGCACCCTTCCCCAAAAAGTGCACCATCAGCAATCTCGTCAAGAGGCCGCCCGTCAACATCGAGTTCCACGACCTCAAGTTCACAACCCACAACGCCAAAGGAGGTGAGTTTCTAAAAGTGTTTGCGCCGCAGTACGGGCTCTAAATCGAATGTTGGCAGCGTAGTTGGGATACTCACGACTCATAGTGTATAGAAATTGTATGGGGTATTATGGGTGTGCCATATCATTTGTGGTTGCGCCCCGGACCCGGAGTAGATCACATCCCATCCCACGGTGGCTCTAAACATTCGGAAAGGGTGAAAAAGTAACCCCCTTTTCCTTATTTTTCACGTGTTTTACGCACATCGTCTTGTTAGGGTGCAACTTACGGCACTTTTTGGTCTCGAACGCATTTTGGTATTGTCATTGAGGTGACCCAGCGTTTCATTGTCACGGAATGTTCTCTACGTCTGGAGAAAGGTGTGCCTCTTTGAGGAAAAGCGACTCGCCGGTTTCGATGTTGGCGGCGAGCCGGTGAGAGAAACTGTCTTCAGGGGTTCGTGACTTTTAGGGGTGGGACGTTAGTTTCCGGCACACTATCTCCTTCCGACCGGATGGAACATACATGTACGCACAAGTCTGCTAATCAGGGCAAATAGCGGAAAGTGCCAAATCGGTAGTCCTCTTTACTCCCATTTGCTTGTCGACGTCGGAGGGGTCGCTGCGTTGCGGTCACATCCACTATGAGTCAAAGTCAGCTTTGCTGTCACACACACACACACAAACGCGCGCGCGCGCGCACTTGCACGCGTCAGCTCCGCCGTATTTGCACAGCACACACGACTGCTCGCCACTCAGTCCGATATTACCCCTTACCTTGCGGCTGTCGGCGGCTCTCCTCGCAGTCGCTACGATCAGACTTGAGGAAAAAAATAAACAGACGCCAGACGCCCCTAACTCTTTCCTGACCATTCAACATACACGACGGTGCAAATCTAAATTGTAAATCTTTTGTCCCCATTATTGACACCACTAAGAGAAAGGAATACGGTCTTAAGTCGCGCGAGCGGTTGTCTTTAGTTTATTGTTGAAAATTCTATTGTAATTTGACACCAAAATCGACCATAAAATCACACACTGTAAATCCAACAGAATGCACGGTGTGCACACTGTACCTACAGCATGCATATGCATGCTGTATCTACCGCATGCATTGAAATGCATGCTGTACCTATATCTCGGTTTCGTGGAATATCAACTAAGTAAGCTCTTCGGTTTTATTTTCGATGAGCCTATCTAATTCTTCGAGAAATTTCCGTTCGAACGAACTTATACGTAGGGTTCCGACGCATAGTTATTCCAGTACGTTCAGTTTATCGGTTTCTTTAAATCCTTTTTGAAGTGTTGGTATTCGAGCTCAGAACCCAATCGCATGTAAGGCTTGTTTGAACGTAAATTTCACGAGGATTGAAAATTAAACCGAAGGGCTCAGTTAATATTTCACGAAACCGAGCTGCACGTTCAGTATGCATCTCAATGCGTTGTCACCACGTGCAACTCGACCTGGAAAAAGTCGAATTATTTTACCGCATTTTCCGTAAAAATTTGGGAAATAGACCGTTCCGACAGTGCGCTTTTTGAGAAGAAATGAAGAAGTCAGGACCGGAACCAGTAGCTAAAGTTCGCTGATTTTTGTCATTTGACACTGCAGTTCGACGTGAATGACCTCTATTAAATCCCTAGTAACTGTCAATTTTAGTTTTCACTGATGTTAGCCTGTATTTTAGAACTGTTTCCGGTGGTGATTTCATTAATTCTTCTTTAAACGGGCACTGCCGGAACCGTCTATTGGAAAGAAATGGTTATTTATAAACAAGCTTTTGACAAGACAGACGTTTCGTTGGCGTTTTGAAGTATAGTATCGGCCTAGGCGAGCTCTTTGTTTTGCCCGTTTTGCCAGTGTCCACGCGCCTGTTATAACCGAAAACTTCATTCTGCGACTTTCTTTTGCAAACTGCCGCTCTGTGACTGTACGTGATGCGCGGGCACGCGAGCGCCAGACACCCCTGTCCTGTCACACCCGCTCCACCCCGCGACCGCGAGGCCCTGCCCCGCCCCACCGTAGTGGCAACGTTGTCGCGGCCTCCTTACTCGACTGCTTTCGCCCCTTTACCCTCTCTCCTCGTGCGTCACAGGATGGATTTATAAAAAAAAACTGGACACCAAGTGTTGCTTATCATTCCGCGGCTTGAAAGGATGGAAATCTCCACTCCTCTCCCCGGTCTCCCATTTCTTATCCAAAAATGTTGACGTCCGCACCACACCTTGTCACCTCATATTCATCTATAAAGGATGCGCGGACAAACATCTGGGAAGTGGTGTCGTTACCAAAGTGGTGTTCAGTTTGCCGCCTGAGTTGTATCCATGGAACGTACTGATGTATAATTCGATATGTTTGGGTAGCGTGGAAACGCTCAGCGCTCAGCCAGCACATCAAAACGTCTAATTGTTGTGACTCAGGGGGCAGACATAAACACCAATTAGGTTCAACAACCAAAACATTTTTCTCCGTGTGGGTGAGTGTGAAGAGAATTCCATAGTAAGAAATTAGCGTAAGATCTTATCGAAAGGACATCGTTTCAATATCACTCCGACTCGACCTTTCTCAGTGGAGTGCGCCTCCATTCTTTTCTTTTCTTTGGTTTGTTCTCTGTTGTATTCTGGAAAGTTGAGAGGAGTGAATTACATTAATTTTTTGTCTTGGTTTAAATTTAGTAATGTAGTCTCCGCTATCCAGTCTGAGCTTCCTGCCTGACAGTTGGCTCGCATATTTATTTACCCTACCCAGCTTGTCCATAATGAAAGAGAAAACAGGCAGCGTTTCATTGCTATTCCCAAGCAAAATGATGGAAATGGCGCAACATTTGTAAAAGCCTGAGTGTGCTATTCATTCTCTCCCCCCCCCCCCCCTGACGTTGTTATGACCGTGCTTTAAATTGATTGCGCATTTGTCTATGTGTGATAATGGAGAATGTCCCATAACCGGCTCGAACGTGAGAATATGCAAGCTGACACACGATACGACTCACACGTAGGTAAACGTTGAAGGCGCGAGTCGGTCCCCACGCGTCCCCTGAAGCTGCGGACGCTAGCCGGTGCGCCGCGTGGTCGACTTGCTTTGACGGGCCTAGCAGGCTCCGCCAGGCTCCCCCACCGGCCCGCCCCGGCCGTGACATTGACCCTGGCAGTGGTGGGCTGGCCGGACTGGAGTCCTGTACGCAGAGCACGGGGCGCGGGTGCGCCGACATGGGTGTTGCGAACTCCGCCGGACAAATAATGTTTACGCAGCCTCCTCAACACCCTGGTTCTGGATAAACAAACTGCAGAGCGACCCCAGCAACAACTCTGCGAAACTTTCCGCCGTGTATTTGGATCATTCGTAATACACAAAACATAAAAACAAGTATGGAATCTATGAAACGTTCTGTGCTAACTTGAACCTGCGTTTCGTTTTGGTCAAAGTTATGGGCAAAAATGCATGCTTCCTTCCACACGAATGCCCAAAATTGTTCAAGCTAACGTAAATTTGTAACAAGAATTTGTTTAACTAGGACAAAAAAAGAGACAAAAGCCCACAAGGTGGGCTGATGCGCAAAAAGTCTTCAGTGTTGGTCGTGTTACGATGAGTAATTGCGCTAAATTGTGACTAACTCGTCCAAATCGGCAAATAACCCCATGTTTTTCGGCTTTAATGGCCCTCTCCTGGCCTGTGCTGTCCTTCCGTCAGTAACCCTCCCGGAAGATATTTTGTCGAGTGCCTCGTGGGAAAGGGAGGAAGGATTGAGAATTTAAACGAAAAAGTCGTGCGTCCAAATTGTCTTCAATATTGTCATCAAAACATGTTGTGACTATCAACTGGCCGTACTCTGACAAATGGGTGCATCGTATACTTTAGTTAAAGTAAGGCATGTAAATACTGTGACTAAATGCGCACATGGGCATCTACCGGGTGATTCAGATAAGGACGTAGGTGAGGGCGGGTTTGCCTTGCCTACTCCCTCTGCAAAAAAAAAAAAAAAAAAGGCGCCATGGCCCACTCTAAATGTGTACATTCTATTTTCTTTACCCATGTAGGTTTTTATAAATGTTTTCATGCCATGCACACAGTAAAAGATGTGTTCATGGGCATATGTACAGTACACATTAATTAAAGTATACATGCTGCTGGTATACATTTATAAATGCGTAGATTAGCATACATTAATTAAAGTATGCCACGCACACGTTATTTAAAGTGTATACTTATGAATTGACAGAGTTAATTAATTTTCGTTTGTATTGATCTTTCGTTCCCGAATCACTACCGAAAGTTGTGAGACCACCAGCAAGGAAGTAATCGAACGAAACACAAGCTTGAGAGAGTATAGTCAAAATACTCCTGGTGCGTCATGGCATACCCGGCCATGCCGCTTCACAGTCGGTGTCGTTGTCCAGCAATTAATTAACAAAATTAATTATCCTGTTAAATTGACCGGGTCTTTACAAACGCAGGTGAGAAAAATGCACCCCAGCACTTTAGGGCGGATCGTACGGAGTATTCAGGGTGCACCGTCAGGATCCCGTGAAAGGGCAGCTGTTTTCTTTCTTCCCTACGCCCCTTTCAAGTCAGGTGCTAGACAAGAGGCAAGGATAGCAAATTTTCGAAATGCTTTTTTCGGTTGCCGATGTTCGTTGCCGCGTTTAGCGTAGGGCATCTGTGCCTGTGTCCTCCTTCCGGGTCGTGTTGCTGAAGGGTCCCGTACGGACGCGAGGCCCGCACCCGGCCGAGCAGCCGGACCAAACTGGTTGCACCGGGCTCCAGGCGAGGCAAGGAGCGGCCGGCCGACCGTCTGGATTCGCGTCTGGAGGCCTGAAGACGTGCGTTTCGCGCTCGTAGGCCGACCGACTGCAGCCCTCAAAATCTATAAGGTGTTTCTCTCAAACACGAGGAGTTCCTCAAAGTTTCACCCTCTTCCTGAGAAAATCAGGCACTGTTTTTACCGTTCTGATTGGTCTGCTGGGCTTGCGCAGAGTGCTCGTCGAGTCTTAGTGACCGAGGCCTGTGCGGGTGACAGTCACCGCGCCGGGCCTCGGCCTGGGGCTCATTGTGTCGGAGGCCCTCGAGCACACCTGCAACTTTTCTCGCATAATGACATCCCGCCGACTCCACTCGAGCCACTTATCCTCTTTGCCAACTGCAGTTCTCATTACCGATGCAGTTAGTTGAAAGTTGTCACTCTGAAAAAAAAAAACGAAGACAAACACTCAGAGCCATAGGCTCATCAGATTTTAAAGCCTTTGAAAATCTGTAAATTTTCGTGCTTAAAAAGGGGAGCTGAAATCTTTGGGGCGTTAACAGAGATTTAACGATTTGAGCACCGTCAAGTGGCTCAACCTCTGAATTTGCAGTGTAGGGAAGAGTACATTCCCCCATCCTCCCCAACATAACATAGAGTTCATGGCAGTTCACTCCCTCCTAGTGGGAGGGCCTCCCATGGAGGGGTGGGGGTTCTTGGCAGACTCGCCGTTGACCGCCGAACGTGAGGACTACTACGTCCGCATCCTCACTCACCGGTGCAAACCACTCCGGAAACCCAAGTGTGTACTTGAATGCAGTACGTTCTGCATTCCTACATTGCATGCAGGAGGCACTGTGTACTTGGCAAGTATGCAGGAGGTAGTGTGTACTTGACGTAGTACACACTAATCTCCTTCAATGTATGGAGGTTTTAGTGTGAACCTGACCAAGAAAACAGTACCTCCTGCATTCATGTGGGTATGCAGGAGGTACTGCATTCAAATACACGCTTAGGTTTCTAGAGAAGCTGCACTCACCGCCCCACGTTTGTCTCTGTAGCCCAGCAGCTCCCGTAGTCAGGGTGAGCACGTGGACGTCAGGGGGAGTTAAGTTATTGGGTGGCGTAACAGGGTCAGTGTGGGAAAATAGACGCGGAGATAATAGCTTCTATCTATACCGGGGGAAATATAAAATCCACGTCAATATCGACTCGAGGCGTAGTTTAAGTGTGTGTCATAATCATCGGCTCCTTAACTCAAGCAGCGCCACCTGAGTGCGGAGTGGTGTCGCTGGCTCGTAATGTGCGGTATAGCGTAATGCATAGCGACCCCCCCGAAGGCCGTCACCAGAGCGGACCGACTTCGCGTGCGGCAGCATGCGACGCAAACAGCAAACAGCTCCTTTTTGAGGAGGTCCGCCGAGACGCGCGACGCGGATGGGATAGTGATAGGGCCGCGCTCAGCAGCGCTGCTGCTTGGCATGCATTAGTGACCGTCTATTTGGGAGTCGGAGCACAGTGATGATGTCGGCGAGGGTGGGTTCCCGACTCAGATGATCAATCAGGTGCTGAACATGAATGGCTGAGCGACAGCGAAGCCTATGGGATGCGTGTTTTTCGTACTCATTTGGCATATGACGTTAGGTCGACGCCTGCAAGACTCGGAGTAGGCCACACCGCCGCACACGCGTGCATTGCAAGCAGGATGTTGCCTACCCACCAGGCGCTACGGCAAATGACATGCGTACTTAATAGATTATACCCCCTTGGGATGATCCCTATTACTCCTGTGACCAAAAACGTTATCTCTCATGAGTCTGTCTGTCGGCAATTTTCAGAGTGCCTGTGTATCAGCAAAAGTCAGAACTGAATTGATTATGGACTGTGAGCTCAAAAAAAGACCTAGTTGTGTAACCGGCAAAAACGCTTAAACGCTAAAAAACGAGCATGGTGGTCGAAAAACCGTTGAAGCGGGTTTGCAGCCGTGCTCATCTCAAAAAAAGAAAGACAATCTACTTCCCAAAACAGCACATTCTCATTCCAGATCACACACACCTTACCTGAGATCCAGTGCGTATCGGGAGATTTCCGCGGAGCCTGTTATTGTCCGGCGCACTTCTGGCTAGTTTTACGGTCATCGCAAGGTAAACAATCATTAGTAATCCGAAAGGAATCTTCAGGAAAACTTGGTTATTACTCGATAATCTTCTCCCAGCGGCTAGCGCAAGAAGAAGCGGAGCGTAGGCGCGGGCCACAGATAAGAGGATCGAAGTGGGTCACGGGGCGCACTGGGCACAGCATCAGGCGCGATACAAGGGAATAAGATATTTTTAATTGTGCCATAACAATTTTTTTTTAAATAACAAAAAATCTATGAAAATTCGTTATCTTACAACGAAGTTACGCATTTGCCGTTCTTTGCTAAAACGTCGATTACGTGGAAGGTCTAGAAGAGATTAGCTCTATCCGTCGCAGTGGCAACGGCGGGGGCGGCGCTGCGCGGTCACGGCGGCGAACGCGACCTTCAAGTGGGTGGCACAGTCAGAGGGGCACCAGGGCCGCAGCGCGCGGGGTGCAGCGCGCGTGGTGCGGGTTGCAGGGGGGGCTACGGCGCGGGGTGCTAGGCGCGTACAGCCAGACAACACACCGAGGCGGCTGGTGGCGGGCGGGCCGTGGCGCGGCGTGGCAGGTCGTGTCGCGGGGCGGCCGGCTCTCTTCCCCACAGACCGACCGACCGATGAACTTCTTATCTGATAAACCCGCCCTGACGCGCCCCGCCCCGCCGGCAGTGGGTCAATCCACTTCCGTGCCGTGCCTCGGCGTGACGCGGGCGTGAACCTCCCTCCGCGCGCGCCCGGCGCCCCGCTCGCCACCTCGACATTGTAAAAATGACGACGTCAAAATAAAAATGAATTGTTTGGATCTACATGTTCTCAACACACTCTAGCTGTGCTTCCCATTGTCCGACACGGAACCCTGTAGACCTCGGGGGTCGGCTTCCCGCCAAGGACAGGTATGCTCAAACTGCCGATGCCAACATCAGGAGGCACAACCTCCTCTACACGCTAAAATGATCTCTTTCATGCAATTATGAATATTTGAATAGATTGTATCGGAGTAAACAGAAACAAAAAAGGCAGCATGCGACAATCTCGAACGTCCTATAGCTCAAATTTCAATTATTTTTATTTTTGAAATTATCACTTTTCCTTGCGGTTCAATTTTGACGCGTAACCGCTTAGTGATCCGTGCAAGGAACGTGTTTAAAATCCTAATTAGGCAACTCAAAACAACTCCAGCCTCTCGCGCTAGAGAGCCGCGCGCCACACTTCCGCGCGCTTCTCATAACGGAGGCGGCCAGTTTTATCGCGGTCTTTTTGGCCATTTTGCAGTAGCGGGTGGCGTGGTGGGAGATAACAGAACGTGTCAAACACCAACGCGGAGTGGGGTGCTGCGGTGGTCCACTCTTACGGCACACTTTACGATTATGTACTTCATTGTTTACATACGCATGTACTGGAAAACTCACCATAATCATGCACGAATTTATACAGGTTTTTTTTTGCAAATTCGTTTGTAATTGTTCACAACTTTGTACCGAGCCCCACTGGAACAATAATTTGTGCGTGATTAGAAGTACCATGCTTTCATAATTTTGTACCGGGTGATTCAGAGAAAACGCAGGTGCGGGCGGGTTTGCCTACCTAAGGGGCTATGGCGCCTTACGGGCAGTGCAAGCTAGGCAACCCGCCCGCACATGTGTCTTGAATCGGCCGGTACAAATCTGTGCATAATTATGCATGTGTTATTCTGTTCACAATTAAGCACAGTTCCTTTTACATAAATATTTAATGTGTACTCAGGGTGTTTGTCGCACGCCGTTGGTGGGGTATCGACACAATATCGGAAAGATGCTCCAAAGACGGGAATGACATTGTGACGATGAATATCGTTTTGACAGTCAGTCACTGGGGCCCGCCGTGCAGGGGGTTACAGTAGCAGCTCTTCGGTCTCGATGATAAAACGGCGATAGCAGCCGTCGCTCTGGGTCGCCGCATTTGTGCAGTAAGAGGCGGAAGAAAACAAATAAAAAGTCCACTACGGCTCTCTGCACCACGTGCTTTTTTATTTATTTGTCTGTGCCAACGCCACGCGTTTATTTCGTGTTGATTACGGTCTATTACCTCTATTTCAACTTGAGACGAAGCTCGAGCGAGAGCCAGCAAGTAAAAATTCTCAACCGGTATCCAAAGCAACAGCGTTCAAACGGTGGCATACAGTAAAAGAACAAGTCTTTCAGTATGAAATTACTTTTGTGTATTTAGATAGAGAGTGCAATCTTCCCAAATCAAACATGACCCAAAAAATATTGATAGCCTAGGCCTGAGGCCCAGAGGCACAAGGTCTATTTTCTTACGCAAGACAAGGCCATCTCTAGTCTGCTCTGGTTTGAATAGTAGCAAACGTTCACACACACGCACGCGCCCGGCTGTAGCGATTATTCGAGGATAAACTTACAGGAGCTCTCATGTAAACAAACAAACTTTTTATTCTGTAATTTCTCTTTCTTTTTCAGAGACGAGACATATTCTGAATGGCATTTCTGGTCGATTTCTGTCGGGGGAGCTGTCATGCATCCTCGGACCGTCCGGCGCGGGGAAGACCACCCTAATGAACATTCTAATCGGCTACCTGTGAGTATGAGTCGTCGTGCGGCTGCAGTTTGCAGTCGGCCTGCTCTCTATGCCAACCTCGTCTTTAATTAGCATCTGGGAACATTACTCTTAAAATAGAAGTGTGTGACGACATTCAAACACTTAAATGTACGGGCCAAAATGTCACACAAAAAAATGAGTGTGCGAGTGCGAACATTTTGTCATGCATGGAAAAGTTGTGTGACCTGGATGTCTCGCACTTATGTCGGTAGAGTATTTTTAGTAGTAACATTTGGGCAAGAGGTAAAAGGATTAACCTTGGCTTTCTCATGTAAAATTTAAATTGGAATCGAGAATAGTCTCTTGTTTGTCTTTATTACTCGCAGGAATAGGCTCGTGTAAATATTTGCCAAGCGTATTGAGTTTTGCGCACTCGCGAATACTTTGGGGACTCGGCGGCGCGCTGGGGGAGG